ACCAGCTCCACAAGCAGCAAGACAATCAGCGACCAAGGGGCAGCTACCTACTCTCGTACGACACCCCCAGACGAGTAGGAGGCGATGACGAAGACCACGGTGAGGCCACGTCACGCAAGACGGCTGGCGAAATACCACCGTGCCTGCAGTACCGCTATGACTGGCGTTGTGGCACCACGTCACTCCATGCCACGACGTGAGCACAAGACCATGATGACAGACACACCAAGACATGCACCACAAGACAGCGTTACTCGCAAGCCAAGTTAGCTAGACCTCCTCACTTAGCCTTATGGCCCTTCGGTCGGGAGAACCTCCTTCGTATGAATCATGGCCTTAGACTCTATATAAGGGCAGTCAGGGCACTCCTCCAGAGGAGATCTCTATTCTCATTGGGCTCTCGAGGCTTTCCTTCGGGTAGCCCTTCTCCTACCTCTTCCACTATTCTTGCACCCTTATTGTAAGAACTTCAGAGCATTCAAGTGAGGAACACGCACTCGATCATCTCTGAGACTGGACTTTAGACTCTAGCCTGAACCAGTATAAATCCTCGTGTCTTTTGGATGCTACCATCGTTTTCCTAGAGCAGCGCGGCATTCGTATAAAGTTACTAGTTCGGTTTACAAAACATAGATAATTTATGTTCTCGTTTTCCATTATAATTTGATAACTTATTTTCTCCCGTTGCAACATACGGACATATTTGTTAGTTAAACATAAATGGAAATGTAGTAAATTTGTTGTTTTTGAAGTAGCATCAAAGAAAACATTTATTTTTCTTGTCAGGTAGCAAGATTTATTTTGAGAAAAACATTCTAGTTAAATATAAAGGGAAATGTAGTAAATTTGTTGTTTTTCAAGGTAGTAGCAAAGAAAACATTTATCTTTTTCTTGTCACGTAGCAAGATTTATTTCGAGAAAAATCCAAATTGCATGTTGGTTTACGATCACTACTTCACTAGTGAATGTAGGTATATATATAACTCGTTTCCAAATTGGTTGCAACGAATAGACCCAAAAATGCGTCCCCAAATGAGAGCAAATGCAGCTTGTTGGTCTGTTTGATTGAGTAGAAATGATGTTATATTAACCTAACACTCTTACATGCTGGTCGTCGTCGAATATAGAGCCACATACCGGATGAGCTTAGGGTCCCTGTTGCAAAAGTAGAATGCTCAGATAAGATGCTGGAAACGGCAGTCATGGATATCTTCACCGGTCATGGACGAAAGTCATTCAGTAGATTTATCACGTAGGCCTTAGTTTGGTTTCGTGCGACTACTCAGTAGTCCTCTTATTTTAGTTCTTTTTAGTCTCAAGGGGCCGTTCGGCTGGTGCAAATATCAACCGGAAAACACTGTTTCCGGATGAAAAACAATATTCACGCTCTCACAAATTCTTCCAAATTTTTCCAAGCGAATAGGGCCTAACTTGCCAAACATGAGGACTAAGGCTGCGTTTGGATGCGTAAAAGATTATAAGAATCCAGACTACATATAGTGATTTTAAAAATCTGGATTTTGAATAGTGATGATCAGTTCGGTTTGGAACCCAGATCATGCTATCCAAATACTAGATGTGCTGTAGAAAAAATGTCTAAAATACCCTTGGTCCTTTTACTTTTACTTTCATTTGGCTGGTACTTTTTGCGTGGGCAATATCATCTTTTCGTATACAGAATCCCCCAGAAGCTCATTGCGAGAGGCTACTGGATTGCTGCCTTGGATTCCGTGAATGAGCATCCAATCCGCTAGAAATCTGTTCCGTTTGGATTGGCTTTAGGATTTTTTTTTTATTGGACTCCAGAATCCTATCTGGATCCAAACGATCCCTAAAAGAGGGACTAAAGGATTGTCGCCCATCCCACGAGGGGTGGGTATTTAGGACTACAGGCCCAAATAGATTTGACCTGTCCCTCAATTATGACCGGTCCCCACCCCTTCCGCTCTCCTCACACCCTCCCTGCGAAGGGTATTTTAGTTATTGTCCAGCAACTTTAATGGTCTTTATCCCTTGAACCAAACTGAGTAGGAGTTAGTCTCTGGTCTCTAATCCCTTGAATCAAACAGGCCCTTACTGTTACGTTTCAGTCTACTCCACCTGATCTTTAATAATAAATGATTTTGAGTACGAAGCCAAACTTTAATACTCCCTCCGTTTCCAAATATAAGACATGCACGTATTTTAAAATTCAAACTTTATTATCTTTGACTAACTATAAGTCTAATTATATCAAAAGTTTGTATTATAAAAGTAGTTAAATTAGATTTGTATTTAGAAATATTTTCTAATGATCAAACTTTTGTTCCTATAAAATATATATTATAAGAGAAATTAAGGGTCAAAATATGTTTTTAAAGACCACACCAAGTTAAATTGTGCCTTATAATCGGGGACGGAGGGAGTAATAGATGGTTTAATAAGTATATACTCCGAGCATTTTTTTAGACGGAAGAAGAGTTGTATTGATTAGATTATAGCTAAGTACATCATCACATTACCTGCACTCTAAAATACACTAAGTATATCTAGAAACTGATTGTCGGTGTTTTCGGATCACCGACGAGTAAATTTGTATTTACGCGTCTCGCTCGGATGGTGTGCTCGGAGGACACAGAGGTTTATACTGGTTCGGACAGAACGTCCCTACGTCCAGTTCGCTGTTGCTCGTGTTAACAGCACTTGTTTTGCACTAGGGGTTACAAACAAGCAAGCGAGGAAGATGATCCCAAGTCTCTCATGGAAGGAGTGAACAGGTGCTGAGAGCTCGCTTGCCCCTCAACCGTGTGCTCGTGTCGTGCTCTTGTGTTCCGATTTCGTGCAGATCTACCCCACCGTGGGGCGCCCTGCTTCGCCTTTTATAGGCGAAGGAAAAGCGCGGGTTATAGCGAAGAAGAGAAGAAAGAGAGAGAGGAAAGAAGCTTACTGGTCGCTGGGTCCGTCATGGCCACGGGTTACATCGAGTCATGCCAGTCTCTTCTCTAGAGCAGAGTTTTGACCCAGACCCAAACACTTAGACCTGGAGTGGTTGGCGACGGTATGGGTCCTCATCGGGCGAGATGGAGCCCGCACCCAAAGGGTCGGGCGAGACAAAGCCCGCGACCTTGGGCGAGACGGAGCCCGTGGCCTTGGGGTCAAGAGAGACGGAGCCCGCACCCAAGGGGTTGGGCGACACGGAGCCTGCGACTTTGGGGTCGGACGAGAAGGAGCCCGCAACCAAAAGGTCGGGCGAGACGGAGCCCGCGGCCTCGAGGTCGGGCGAGATGGAGCCCGCGGCCTTGGATCGGACGGGACCTTTTAATACGTCTTGCTCTATCTGGGGAAGTCAGCGTGGGCGCTAACTTCCTTGCTTTGGGTATCCCTAATATCGATACCCGGCACCTTGTGTCTGTGGAGAAACGTCCTTTGTAGGGGCACTTCGACGTCCAATGATCACCATTTTCCCACATGTTCGGCAAACCATGAGAATGCCACTTCTTGTACTTGCCATATCCAGTGGATCATCAGAAGTATCCTCGGCCCTTTTACCTACAATTGAGAGGACTAACAAATTATGGCACGAAGATACAAATTGAAGCAACACCCAAAAAAGTTTTGAGGCTTAGAAACAAGGGGCGGGAGATGTATGTGTTATAAAAAAGGGAAGATAAACTGTCAGCTACACTATAAAGATTAGTGTCATGGCTGCATAATATCTCTATATCCACAAGATGTAAACTATTGAGCAGGCAGTGACATGCTTTACCAGGTTTGGTTTTGATCAACAGTAATTTTGTTAAAACTTGCGAATGTCTGGAAACAAACTAGTAACGTAGTAGTAAAATAATCGTATTAGATCTATTGAGTTTGCATTCTGGAGGATATAATTCTACAGTGGAATTAGATCACGGGAAAATATTCAGTGCAAACCATGCATCTACTCGGTGGAATCATGAAAACACTTTACAAAAACATACTTAGAAGTTTTCAAAAAAATTCAAACTACGCACATCTATAGTGCATCTATGGATGTACATTATCGCAATAATTCTCAATTTAGAAAAATTCATATGAAAATGACAAATTCCAAGTGCATATGCACTAGAAGACAAATTCCCAGGAATTTTGTCCTCTAGTGCATATGCACATGAAATTTGTTATTTTCATGACTTTTTACAAAACGAGTTTGAATCTCAAATTCTGTGACAATGTATATCTATATATGCACTATGGATGTGCATAGTTTCCAGTATGTTTTTCTAAAGGGTTTTCACAATTCCACCGAGTAGAGCGTTTGCACTGAATATTTGGCCATAGATCACCTGCAGTTGATGAAATAACTGCAGCAAATCTCCACAGCTGGTCCATGATGTGGGATCCAAGTTTTAACATGAAAGAGACAACCTGTCCACAACTTTAAGAAAGGGCATAGAGCTGGCCTTGTTACTAAAGCCCTAAAATTAATTTTTAACAGCAGCTCACATTATCTCAACTTAAATTAAATATTATTCAGGGAGAATCAGGAGTCACAGCAAAATACAGAATGCTAATTTTGGGTATTTGTAACGCAATCACTGATTGCACCTGAAGCAGTTGGAATGATAATTGATAATGAACTATGAAGGCATGTTCCTTCCATGGTAGATAATACTAGTGTATATAAAAAGAATGGTATAATTGATGTACACACCACATGTTCATAACTAACAACAAGATCACCATTGAATCATAGTATGGGATTTGAGTCTACAAGGTGAAAGTGAAACATGTGCCCACATATGTCTATGGAAGGGTGAGTTGCCTTCTTTTAACATACTAAACATTACTATATCCAACTGTATGAAGGCATGTTGCCTTCTTGAATACTACATTATGAAGATGACTAGGGAGGATGAAGAGATTAAAAATCACAATGCTAAGTTTAGTCTATTTGTAACAGTCATTAAGTGCATCAGAAGCAACTGGAATGATAGCGACTACATGTTCCTTCCACAGTACTCCAACCGGAAGCCATGCATGGCCTACAGACGTTGTGCTAACACTGTTAACAGATTAATCAATATTGCAGAGCAGATTGTAGGGTAGAATGAGACATAATATTTTTAGCAATAGAAATCATGCATTGTATGCAAATACTATAATTCAATCAAGGTTAAGAGACTGATTTATGTACACAATATCATCAAGCAGAGACTGGAATAATACATAGTTCAGGGAGAATGATGAGTCATAAGAAAATGAGGATGCAACTTTTGGCTGTTTGGTAGCACTAACGTGAGCACTTGGAAGGAGAATTCTTCCAAGGTAGATGGTGGTTTTCATGTTCTATAGGACTATAATTCGTGTACACAAAGCATGTCCATAAAACTAGCAACAAGAATACGCTTATGGTTGACAGATAAATGCAGAACAGATCTAGGCCGGAAGAAACGCATGGGGGGTGAGACCGTGAGAACAGAAGAGCTACTACCTCGGGCACGTGGGCGCTCGAGGAGGACCTCTTCGGTGGAGACCATGGTGAGGCGCGAGCCGGCGTCGTCCCCCTTGACGGCGTCGCCGAACTTGGCCCACGAGCGGCGCTCGACAGCGCTCCTGGAGAGACGCGCGCGCGCGAGGCTGCAGGTGCGGGTGGTGGTGACGACCTTGACCTTGTTGCCCTCGTCGTCGAAGCGGTACTGGATCACCTTCCGGAGGCCGCCCGCGTCGGGCCCGACGACGACCCGCGGCGGGAGGAGGAGGAGGCCGAGGTCGCTGGAGCCGTCGTCGTCCGCGAGCTCGCCCCACTGGTACTTGCGCTGCTGCTGCGTCGCCACCGCCGCCGCCATGGCTCTCCCCCGGTCGCTCGCCGCGCCGCGTGCGTTAGGGCTTTGGTCGGTGCGGCGGTGAGAAGGGTGGAAGGGGGAGGAAAGCTTGGGTTCGGTTGCGATCGCAGGCAGCGTAGCCCGTAGTGGTTTCCCTCCGGGTAGAAGAGATGGGCTATATGGCGTATGGCTGGCTCAAGTGGGCTTTCCCTAGGAGGATGCAGGCTGGGCTTATCAACGGGGGAAGACGGATGTATCCAAGCGATATTGGAAGGCTTCGGCCCAGCTCCAAAAATGGGTGAGGAACTGATGATGAGCGCTGCTGCCTTTGCTAGAGAAACTGGTGATGAACGCTGATTTTCGTCATTTCCAGTTCCAGCAGAGCAGCATACACTAAGATAGAAAACAGTTGGAGGAAACTACTGACTACTTGTACTAGAAAGACCCAGTTATACTGGCTGGCGAGAGAGGCAGAGATCTACATCGAGCACGAGCAGTCTACATACGTACGGTCCTAGCGAGAAATGGCCCGGGTACGTACGTTAGCTTCCCTTTGAGTAAACAAATGGTTAACATCCAGTGGCGGAGCCACAGCCCCGGCATGACCGGCAAGTGTGCAATATAATATAGGTATTATACAAATCTGTATTTATATAAAAAAAAAAAAAAATATTTACCTGATCACGCCATCACGGAAGCATCAAGTTAGAAGCCCCAGGAAGCGGCCCACGCGGCAAGTACGTACGCGCCTAGATACACGCGTTTTACTTTTGGCTTTTGGTATTCTAATCAGGATCCGTTCATCGGGCTGAGGAGTCACGAACTCACGCCGCCGCCGCCCTGATAGTTGACGCCGACGCCGACGCCGACACGGTGAGGCGTGACGAACGGTGAGACCCTGGTCCTGGTGGCCAGTGCCCTCTGGCCTTTGCCTTGCTGTCCTCCGTTCACCGATCACGCATCTACAGTTTGCAGTTTGCACGGCCACGCAGTCACGGAGGCTCACCGATTCGCTATTTCTCTTAGGTAAAATTTAATCTTCTGCTCTTCGTCTTTTTTAGAAAATTATTGTCTAATTTCATAGTTATTTGCTAACATCACATGTAACAAATTATTTAATATTTATGCAGTTATAAAGATAAACTCGGATATTGCATCTCTTTTTCAGAAGCATCAAGCAAAAAAGGCGACGGCAGCTGCAGCTTCTTCTAATCATTCCCCTGATCCGGTAGAACCTGTGGTGGAAGAGCATACTCATGAGAGAATTGAGGAAATTACAAATCCTATGCCACCGCCACCGCCACAACCGTCTTCACTGCCACTAGTTTATGACATCAATCGCCTTCCACATGATCCAGGTGAAAGATGACCCATTCTAAAATATCCTGTTAATGATCAAGATGCAATTCGAAGAACATATATTATTAAAGGTCCATTCAAACCTTTTGCACATGATTTTCCAAAAAGAAAGATTTCAGGCAAGGATCGGAGATTCAATTATTCTTGGATGTACAATCATGATTGGCTTGAGTATAGTATTAAGAAGGATGTTGTGTTTTGCTTTATATGCTACTTGTTTAAGAAAGGTACTGGGTGAGACACATTTACTGTTGATGGCCGAAAGAATTGGAACATAGGAGAGAAAGCACTTCTCAAACATGTGGGTTCTAAGGCACATATTGCAGCTCAAGAGAGATACATTGGCTTTAAAAATCACAAGGTTGTAATTGATTATAATATTGAGAAGTGGAGTGACGAGGATCTTCATCTTTATAAGAAAAGGTTGACTTATTCATTTAGGTGTATCAAGTTTCTTTTGCATCAAGGGTTGGCATTTCGTGGACATGATGAAAGTGAAGAATCTAGCAACAGAGGGAACTTTATTGAACTTTTGAAGTTTCTTGCCGGAAATAGTGAAGAAGTGAAGAAGTATGTTTTGGACAATGCTCCAGGTAACTATACCTTAAATAGCCCAGACATACAAAAGCAAATTATTCACTATTGTGCCATAGAAACTAGAAAGAAAATAATTGAAGAATTTGGTGATGAGCCCTATGCAATTTTAGCTGATGAGTCTAGTGATATATCACATAAAGAACAACTAGCATTTTGCTTGCGTTATGTTGATAAATTGGGGAGGCCATGTGAGCATTTTATTGGAGTTGTTCATGTAGATGATACTACCTCTTTATCACTTAAGGATGCAATTGAATCTTAACTTGTTAGTCATGGCTTGAGTATGACTCAAATCCGTGGGCAAGGATATGATGGGGCTAGCAACATGAAAGGAGATATTAAAGGGTTGAAAACATTGATCATGCAAGAATCACCTTCTGCTTATTATATTCATTGTTTTGCTCATCAACTCCAATTGGTTCTTGTTGCTGTTGCCAAGGGAAATACTGATTGCAAAAGTTTTTTTGATCAAATATCTATCTTGTTGAATATTGTTGGAGTTTCTTGTAAGCGCCATGACATGCTTAGAAATGCTAGGCTTGAGAATGTCAAGAAAGCACTTGACTATGGTGAAATTGAATCTGGAACCGGATTACATCAAGAGATGAGTTTGCCTAGGCCTGGAGATATTCGATGGGGATCTCATTATAAAACGGTATGCAACATCATTACCATGTATGAAGCAATACATGATGTACTGGTTGATCTTGGGGATGATCCTTCATATAAGGATGATTGGACCAAAATACATTTTGTGACTGGAGCATTTGAGACCTTTGAGTTTGTCTTCTTTACATACTTAATGTATATTATTCTTGGATATACAAATGAGTTATCTGAGTGTTTGCAAAGAAGGGACCAAGATATTCTTAATGCAATATCACTTGTTAATGTGGCAAAGACAAGAATGCAAGAATTGAGGTCTGATGGTTGGAATAATTTTCTTGAGAGAGTCACTTCATTTTGCGATAAACATGGTGTTGAAGTTCCTGCTATGGATGGTGATTATTTCCTTATGGAAAATCAGCAAGGAAAGCTCATGCCCAAAAGCAAATCAATGATGACCACTTTAGAAGAGAAGTATATATTGGTGTCATTGATCAAATAAGTCGAGAACTTGATAATCGGTTTGACGAGATTAATATGGAGTTGTTGTCTTGTATGTCGGCCTTCAGTCCTTCCAATTTATTTGCTTCTTTTGATGCACAGAAGCTATGTAGACTAGCTGAGTTCTACCCAAAGGAGTTCTCAAATAATAATTTGCTCAAACTTGAATTGCAACTATATAATTATATTGATGACATGAGACAGGATGATAGCTTCAAAGGTCTAGACAATATTGTTGATCTCTCAGTTAAGCTTGTTCAAACAAAGAGGCACAAAGTGTATGATATGGTTTATGAGCTCCTCAAATTGGTATTGCTTCTACCCGTGGTAACGGCAAGTGTTGAAAGGGTATTTTCTGCAATGGTTTTAGTGAAAACAAAGTTAAGAAATAAGATGGGAGATAGTCTTTTGGATGATTGTCTAGTCACTTTCATTGAGCGAGATATTTTCTTTAAAGTTGATGAAGATGATATAATCAAGACATTTATGTCACTTCGAAAGCGTCGAATAAAATAGTCAGAAAAATAGCATTGTAAGTTTTCGGTTCTCTTTTATGCATATATTTCAATTATCGGTATGGCTTTTGAACTATTTATACTATATTTAGTGGATGGTTTGAACCTAATCCAAGAATTTAAACCTTATTGTGTTACTTAGTGCATATACACCGAATCATGTTGTCAATTTTACAATTATTACCGAATTGCTGAAATGAATTTACCGAATTGTATATGAAATTTTTTGGACGGCATACCCTTAGACAAAATCCTAGATTCGTCTTAGACAACATGCTACATTCGCCGCTGTTGTCATCCGAATAGGAAGGTGTCGCGCTGTCTCGTCTCAATGGATCCCAATGCAACTCGTGCTGGGTCAGCCAGCTAGCCAGGAGCTACCGTGCCTACACGCTGTCTCTCTCGTGCAATTTGACTGCTGTAGTCTTTTAACGAAACTTTGGTTCACATCGATCGATCAGCACTTGTGTCGTCGTACAAATTATTTGACAGTCTCTCATCACCATGCATGCAATGCAAGTCAGTCGCCAACCAATAGTTGCCGAGGTTTCCGACGTGACATCCAACCAATTGTTGTTGCCCGTCGATCGTCGATGCATCAATGCAAGACGAGAATATGCATGTTAACTTCAGACATGCATGCTATCAGCAGGTCATCATATAGTACTATACTACCCCGGCCCGTAAATATTCCAGCGGGTGGGAAATTCAATGCATGCTGGCGAGCGTGCCGGGGTTACAGTAGCCTACAAACCCGTAGTAGTATTACAGGGCAAGGCTAGGGTTTAGGTTTAGCCGACGAATGATGATGATGGCTCGTTGCCGAGCGAGACTGCGCTGCTGCAGGGTAGTGCTGCTAGAATTTCCACCCCAAAGGCGCCAGCCTTTTTCGGACCGACTCGACCTGATCCACGACCCATTGCATGCTGCCAGGCAAAGCGGGTACGACGGTGTTGGAATGAGAGGGATTGAGAGAAGGCGCATGCACTAGCGTAGAAAGAGAGAGGACGTGAAACACACGGGACACAACACAATGATGGCGAAGCTAAGTGGCCCGTGCGGCTACAGCGCACTGCGCTCGCATTTTTTTAGCCAGAGCTTATCAGACACTCAATAGTATTTTTCTCTCTCAACAAATCATTGTCAGTTGAACTTATCAGCCCAAAAAACAACTAGCGAACAGGCTCTTTGCATGGGGATGGTGGGAGAAGTGACCACCTCTCTTCTCTCCCCGTCGCCCTCGCTTGTAGTACTGTACTGCGCATTGCGTTGCAGCAGCCTCGTGTTTTAGTATTTCCCGGGGCAACGCAACGCAATCGCCCATCCGTGCCGCCGGCGAAACATGCACGACCGGCGAACGGGCGTCGCCAGCTATTAGTAGTACCTACCTACTCGATCGGGCCACACGGGGTAGTGGGCGGGCCAGACTTAGACATGGTGGCTGGT